AATGTGGGGGGTGGGGTGGGGGAGACAAGCCTTCACTCTGTAGCCCTGGCTGGCCTGGAAATTGTTATATAGCTCAAGTTGGCCTCAAACTCCCAGAGATACACTTGCCTCATCCTTCTGAGTGCTGGGATTAAAAGCTTGGACCATCATGCCAGCTAAGAACACATTTGGACACTTACCTATCTTCGACAATACTCTGGGTTTTATCTGTTCCTTCCCCAACTGAAAGGAAAAAGGGAGGAAGACACTGCAATCTTGTCGTTTCAGGAAGTTGCTGGCAATAGTAGTAATGTTTCTGTGGGGTTTGGAACTGGTGTTAAACTGATAGTTACAAGGTCTCTAACAACAATGGGAATAATGCTTGCTGACTTCCTCACTGAACTAAAGAGAACATTGTGTCTACTGTTGCACTTACAGACAACTGTTCATTTGTGGGTAGTACTAGTAAACTAAGTTAATGTTTGGATGCTACCCTATTAAGGATAGGATAGATACATTAAAACTGCCTGCAATGTTGTTTTACATTAAGACAATTCCCTGGAGCCTGCAGTATAGCTTAGTAGTGGAGTGTGGGTCTAGCATCCTTGAGGCCCCCAGTTCTGTTCTCAGTCCTTGAACAGACAGACACACAGGCCTGGGATGCACTTACCGGGACAGTGCTTGCCTAGTGTGTGCAAGGTGCTGGCTTCAGAGCCCCATCCACAGTGTCTGAAAACAAAGTCTTCACTTTCCTTTGTCTTGCTGTGTATTCAGTTCTGACTGGCCTGGAGCTTAAACTGGCAGCAATCTTCCTGCCATTGCCTTTACCGTCCAAGTGCTGGGATTATAGGCATGCAACAGCTCTGACAATTCATTTTTTAAATCAGGGTAGAGTTTAATTGATAGCTTAGCCAGGCATGGTGGCACAAGCCTTTCGTTCCAGTACTCAGGAGGCAGAGGTGGAACTCTGTGAGCTTGAAGCCAGCCTAGTCTACATAGTGAGTTCCGGAACAGCCAGGGATAGAGAGAAAAAGAGAGAATGAGAGAGAGAGAGAGAGAGAATAACAGCTTAAATAAACACAAGTATACTGCAAGAAATTCAGTGAATGGAACAAACTCTGAACACTGAACACATTAGAAATAGTTCCAGTTTAAACTTAATTTTATTAAAATGAATAAGAAATTAAATAAAGCTTAGCAAATACAGTATTAGGTTTCAAGGATGTTTAGCACAATACTATGCTTTTGAGATAACAGTGCACACTGCTAGTGGAGTGCTAGGAAGGTTTTCAGTAAGCACAGAGACTGTTGAAGGCATTTACAAATCTGCAATCATGTGACTGAGCAAGCACTATTCACATAAGGACGCTGACCTTGAGACTATCACACCAAGAGGGTAGTGTTTACATCTTAAACATAAAATGATTCTGCATCACGCCTTCTACTGAGCACCTCCCCCTCCTTTGCTATCCAAAGGTGAGCAGTTGCCCTAGCAATCAAGTCTCTGCTAGAAGTGCAAACAGCATGGGGCACAGGAGGAACTTCTGAGCAGGTGCCTGGTGAGCATCGCTGACCTTTGCCCCTGGAGCTCACACACTTATGGACTGAGGGGACAGATGGCATTACCCACAGCAGTGTGATACGGTTCACATGGTTAAAATAGTCCTCACAATATATCAACTTCAGTTCCTAAAAAATGTAACAACATAGTACGTTGTGTGTACAGAAACAATAATGAGCAATGTAATGTAATGACTTTCCCTTCTAGTAAAAGGAAAATCTGCCCTATAGATGAAAGGAGGCCAAGGGTAGAACCACAAAGAGGAAAAGATATCCTGGGAGCCTGGGCCTCCAGTGATCATGGAGACTGATCTGATTTGAGTAAAGACAGGAGAAATTATCTGTTTAGTGGAAAGTCTACAGTGTTTTGTGCCTATTCTAGTTAATTCTAGTCTAGTCAGTTCTAATGTTTCAGTCAAGTAATTTTCAAGTTTTCCCTTTTTTGTGGATAATCAGACTGCCTGTTATTTAAACCTCTGTACAAATGCTTCTTTCAAGTTAATGTTCCTCTTAAAAACTCAAAGTCACGGCCAGGTGTGGTGGCACATGCCTGTAATCCCAGCACTTAGGAGGTAGAGGCAGGTGGATCTCTGTGAGTCCATTAATAATTAAATGAATAATTTATCAATTTACTTTTTAAAGAGAGAAAAAGGAGCTGGCAGTGGTGTCACATGCCTTTAATCCCAGCACTCGGAAGGCAGAGGCAGGTGGATCTCTGAGTTTGAGGCCAGCCTGGTCTACAGAGCAAATTTCAGGACAGCCAGGGCTACACAGAGAGACCCTGTCTCAGAAGGAAAAAAGGCTGTCTACATGTAGTCTATCCCATGACTACAGTTCATGGGATAAATTTTTTCAGACCTAAACTCTGGAGAAGGGAGGATAATAACCAAGATTAACAAAATCATGTAAATTTAAAGGCATTTGTAGCAGCAAGTTATGTCAACAAAGATACAAATAGAGTCAAATCCCAATAAAAGAAATTCTAATTTAGCTGGGACCACAGTTTAGTTGTAGAATGCTTATCTAGCAAGTGTGAGGCTCAGAGTTCAATTCCCAGGTCAGACAATAAGTGTGTTTTAATTAAAATATGCTTCTTTGGTAAGCTTTCTAAAGATAACTTTTTGGAGACTGACGTTACTCTAAGCAAACTTCATAATGGCATATTTCTTTCTCTAAGAAAACAAAATATCTTTTGAAAAGGATATTTCTATGTGTACAGGTATTTTGCCTGGATGGATGAATGTATATGCACCATATGTTTGCCTGCACAGGCCAGAAGAGGACAAGGAATTCCCTAGAACTAGACTTATAGATGTTTTAAGTTGTGTGGGTACTGGAGACTGAATCCAGGTCCTGCGTGAGAGCAGCCTGTAGTACTCTTCGCCACCTAAAATGAAATAAATGATCTACTTATCAAGATCCTTAGAGCTGTACGTGGTGCATACCTTTAATCCCAGCAATAGGGAGACAGAGACAGGTGAATCTCTGTGAGTTCAGGGCCAGCCAGGTCTACATAGTGAGTTTTAAGACAGCCAGGGGTGTGATGAGAAAACCTGGCTCAAAAAGTAAAAAATAAATAATAAATAAAAATAAATAAGTATAATCTTTGAAATATTGTTCATAGTAACATTTGATTTTTTTTCTTTCTCTCCAAGATAATGTTGACATGAAATCACTAGTTTTTGATAAGTAAGCCAAGCAATCTTTCCAAAGTGGGTGTAGGAGTGTCAGAGACAGAGAAACGTGACCTGGCCTCTGGCCTGAGGTGTTGCTTTGCACTTTGCTGTTTGCTGTTACCACAGGCTGCTCAGGCTATTTGCTACAGATCAGTTCTTCAACTAAGCAGAAGAAGATTAAATGAGGACAAAAGCAAGAATGTTCCCCCCTAAATCTTCAAATAAATTCTGGAGGAAAAACAAAACAAAACAAAACAAAATCTTCCCAATAGTAGAATTATAGCTGGATAACAAATAGGAAATTAATTTTGATCCTTCCATATTAAAGGTGTTTTTGCTATTGAAACATAGTAAAAATCTCGTTATCACATTTTTTTTTTTCTCTGTGTAAACTGGCTGTCCTGAATTTGATCTGTAGACTAGTCTGGCCTTGAACTCACAGAAATCCACCTGCCTCTGCCTCCCAAGTGCTGGGATTAAAGGTGTGTGTCACCATGCCTGGCCTTATCAAATTTTTAGTTCCTCACAATTTTCCCAGCTCCTCAGTCCTATCAAATTTTCACTGAGCCCTTTTGTTAAAATTCACGGATTTTCTTTACACCCTGCTGCTGAAGGTGATTTCCTGATCTCAGTGTTCCAAAGAAAAGAAGGGCGGCCTCTGAGAAGTCCATGGGATGGTGACAGTGGGCTAGGGAGACAGCTCAGGTCAAGCGCTTGTGCGCCTGTGCAAAGCCCTGGGTGTGACTGCAGAGATTAAGGTAGATTAAGGTAGAGGAGCTCTCAGAGGGCTCTACATGACAGCTGCCTTCATCGTTGGTAGGTGGAGGTAGAAGGTAGGTCTACTGAGTGGGCCTAGAGTTTCTGGGGATCCACAAACACTCTCTCCCCCTGCCTCATCCCTCTGTCTTTGGCTACTGTAACCATCTGTGCTTTCAGGTCATCAAACCCCACTTTCTGGGTCTGGGAGAAAAGTCTTACCAACAAGGGGGAGTTACTTGTGAACATTGTTCTGGCAGCAGAACAATGCTTTTTTCTCCTGCTTGCAATTTTCTGCTCTAATCCCCAGAGAAGTTAAGATGATTCCATTATCTGAAGATTATAGCCCACATTCACACACACACACACACACACACACACACACACACACACACACCCCTTTCCTGTACTTGTAGACCTTTTGTATGTTTGTCTTGCAGGGAATATATGCATATATATGCATACACACATGTAGACACATATATGTATCTACATGTGCTTATTTTGTATTGCTTTCTGCTAGTCCATATAAAATATAAGTGCGATATAGGATTTTCTGTAACCATATGCTAAGACGGTGGTAGAGTGTGACTTACATTCTGAAAGACAGCATCACAACCTTACAAACACACAGGCCTCATCTGACCAATCTGAACAAGTGAACAGAGAACACTGGCTGTAGATCTGCTCTCAGTAAAGCAAAATCAGCTCTTGCTTCAAAGGGCTGCTCAGACGCTGAGCTGGCTGTGGACTCAGGGACAGTTAACATTCTATTTTGGATTGATGTTGAGTTTACCAAGACCTGGAGAAGCAGAACTTCCTTTACAGAAAAGTTGCAACATATTCTTAGTTTGCCTGCTATTTTCCATTAATCAGAGTGAAGTGGTTACAGCTAAAATCCTGTGCAGCTGGTATTTCTGGTTAACTAGATTCTCAAAAGTCCAACAGGTGCTACTCTTGGATGTGAAAACCATCACTCTCCTAAGCACCAGTCCAGTGATACATTCTTTAAGTGATAAGCTTCCTCACTTAGGAAGAGAGAACATTCATGGTCAGATACAGCAACTCCTTATGGAAATTTGCCTGAGCATGTAGAAGATGGAACAAATTCAGGAAACCTCTGTCATCGTCATCACGTTCTCCTGTGATACATACATAAGAACAGACAGTGGGAAAAGGGAAAAGTTAAACATTTTAACACTCAAGCAGCAAGCAAGCAAGCAAAAGTTACCAGGTGTGGTAACTCAAGCTTTAACCCCAGTACACTGTTTTGTTTTGACACTGGGTTTCTGTGTAATAGCCCTGGCTGTCCTAGAACTCTTTTTGTAGAGCAGGCTGGCTTTGAACTCACAGAGATCTGCCTGCCTCCACCTCCCTGAGTGCCAGGACTAAAGGCATGAGCCACTACTCCCAGCTAAAAACAGTTTTTTAAACACATGGCTTAGGAATGTAAGATGTTCTAAGTGTTCCTAATATATTTAAACAGAAAAAAAATTGTGGGTGATCCTAAAGCCAGGATTAACCATTAAAGTCATGAAATTAGACACTAGAGAGAAAACATGGGAAAGGAAAGTGTCAGTATCTCTTAACTTTATGACCTTGGGCAAGTCAGGCTATGTCTTTGTTTCCTTTTTGTCTATAAAACAGGGGTGATAAAGAACTTATCGGTTACTAGCACTAGCCAGTGCTCTTTTGCAGAGGGCTCTGGTTTGCTTCTCAGAGCTCACATGATGAATCTGGTGCCCTCTTCTGACCTCTGTGTATCAGTCATGCATATAGTGCAGACAAAATAAAAACAACAATAATTTTAAAAATATTTAAAGGGCTGGACATGGTGATGCACACCTTTAATCTGAGCACTAGGGAGGCAGAGGCAAGTAGATATCTGTGAATTCCACATAAAGTTTTAAAAAACAAAACAAAAAACCCAAAACAATTATGTTGGCCACCTAGTAAACTAATATCTGTTAAAACCTATATAAGGCCCAGTGTGGTAGTCTCAGCATTTGGAAAGCAGAGGCAGGCAGATACATGTGAGTTTGAGGCTAGTCAACATAGAGAGTTCCAGGCCAGCCAGGACAGAGAGAGAGAGACCCTGTCTCAAAAAACCAAAACCAAACTCCCAGACAGGGTCTCACTATGTAGCCCAGGCTGGCGCAAACTTCAGCTCTCCTGCTCAGCCTCAAGTACTGGACCATAGGTGCAGAGCCCCAAGCCCAGGTAGTTGCATGTGACGTGCAGGGTGCAATCACTCACTCCTCTGTACCATGGACACTCACTTACCAGACATGACAGGCTGCAGCATTTCCATCGTGACACAGGCAAAGGCATTTGCCACGTTCTGCAGGAAGCTCTTTCTCTCTGATGTGGTGTTAAAGACCTTGCTGACTTTCTCCATCATTCTAACTGTCCAGTCCATGCAGTACAGCTCTTTCTCGCACACCTGGTTCAGATGCACAAAGCACCATGTCAGTCTTCATGTGAAGAAAGCTGTAGAGCTTGAAAGTGCAGTGACAATGACAGTTTATGCTGTAGCATAGTTTATTGCACAGGGCAGCCCTCTGAGGCTGTAAACAGGAAATGCTAGTAAGTGAATAAAATGGAGTGTGATGGCACATGCCTGTGATCCCAGCACTCAGAAATGCAAGATCACTTTACCTACATAGTGATTTGGGAGCCAGCCTAAGCTATATGAGACCCTGTCTCAAAAACCAAAACAAATAAATATGTAACAAACAAATAAATTATGTACTTTAATACTTATTTTTTCAATAATATTTTCTGTGTATCTCAGTTCCTGGTAGGCTGTAAGAGTGTGTGTGTGTGTGTGTGTGTGTGTGTGTGTAGTGTAGAGAGAGACAGAGACAGACAGACAGATAGACCAGCCTTGGGCTTTGCAAGGGAAGCAGCCCTGCTGCTGGGTCAAGTGGAATGAGGAATAAGTCACTAGAGAAAAAGTTAGTTTTTACTTACCAAAGCCAAAAAGACTATGAGCCTTGCCAGTTCAATGGCCCGTCCATTTACAGCTTTACTAGCCATGAAAGTGAAGCAGATGTTGTTCCCGCTCAGGATTAGGAGGCGTGCGTTATTCTCCAGAAGCCACTCCCGGGGAACCACTTTTGTTAGAGGAAAACAGTATTTAATGAAAAATTACACACTGCTGTAATAAACATCTTTAAACATATTCAATATTATATTACTTTTTTGGAAATGTAATTTAGTGTCAAGGAAACCACTCAGAAATAATGTTTTAGATTCTTTTCTTTTTTCTTTTCTTTTCTACACAGGGTTTCTCTGTGTAGCTCTGGCTGGCCTGGAATTCCACTCTGTAGATCAGGTTGGCCTTAGAGATCTGCCTGCCTCTGCCTCCTGAGTGCTAGGAGTGAAGCTGTGGTCCAACCATGCCTGGTATGCTTTAGTTTTTCGAATACAGCATTGAGCCAGAGACAGCAGTCCCCTCCATGTCATGGTGCGTTTACCACTGTGGTGCTATGCAGTCAAGCGTTATCCTACACACACATCCATGGGCAAAGCGATCTAAAATGTACAATAAAAGCCTCTGCAAATGTCAGGGTTCAAAATAACTGTTTCACCCTCTCTTACAGAGCAGCAGAGGGCTTTCTTTTTACATAATCTAGAAGGACGTATATGTATGAGAACTTGTAAAACGAGGGCAAGAAAACTCATTAAGCTATGAGGTGATGTAATAATATCATATATTTATAAAATTGGGAAGTGAATCCCCCTGGGAAACTGTCGGCTCCTGATGGGAGCTGTGGGCGTGGAAGCCATTGTTTTCAGCTGTGCACCTACTGGTGAGTCCACTGGGCTCTAGGGGCAGTTCTATGCCCATGATCATGCAGACATCCCTGGTTAAACTTAGTGGGTCACAAAACAAAAAGAAATGACAGAGAGAAAGTCTTATAGAGAGGAGGGGCAATTTATGGGAGTGGGAAGGAGCTAAGAGAGGGTAAAGTACAAGAGCAATCAGAATGCATTCTATAAATGCATAAAAGTAAAAAAATTTAATTTAAAACATTAGTGTTAGAGGTAGGTCTGATGTGTGTTACTGGCCCTCAAGATGTGGTTACACCTATCCTTGTTCTCTTAACTTGCCTAAGACATACCTGATTGGTTGGTAAAAGGGCCTATACCTGAGCAAGGCAGAATGGGATAGGCATGGCTATGGTGCTTGAAGAAGAAAATCATGGAAGATAGACGGACAGGAACAGAGGAGGAAGAGGACACCACAATGGGTTATCATGGAGAAAAAACCACGTGGGCCAAGAGGATGGACTCCAATAATGGCATGAAAAAGCCCTGATGAAGAATACAAGCAAGTACTATTATGGATGGAACGTAGACCAGATGAGGAGGATTAAGGTGGATGGCATTGAATGGGGGCTGGATGGTGAGGTGATTGAAACAGTGTAGGTGAAATATCTGCCCAGCCCAAGGTAAATAAGGCATTATAAAATCTAACAGATGTCTGTGTCTTATTATTTGTGATAGCAGATTAAATAATACTGCTGTGATAATCGCAGGGTTAATAATAAACATTATATAGCCCAACACTTATTTTTTTATTTACAAAAACAAACTGGAAATTAAGATAAACACTTTTTAAAATATTTATTCCCTTTGAATATAAGGGTTCTGCCAGCATGTATACTTGCACTCCAGAGGAGGGCATCAGATCTCACTATAGATGGTTGTGAGCCACCATGTGGTTGCTGGGAACTGAACTCAGAAACTTTTGCAAGAGCAACCAATGCTCTTAACCTCTGAGCCATCTCTCCAGCCCCTGATAAATACATTTTTACACCATAGTATACTCCACATACATACATTTGTACACACACACAAAACAAACAAACAAACAAAAAAAAAACAATAAAAATGTTTTGAAGCAGTAAGTAACAAAACAAACTTAAACTACATATTGGGCAATTAGAGGTTTCTAACACATTATTTGGTACCTAGAGAAGTGTTGATACAACGTTATACCTGTATTCTAACGATACATTCCTATTACTCTATGTTAGTACATACATATTTACCTGATAGTTCATCTAGAAGACTGATAACATCATCTGCTGTCCACTCTTTGGTACCTGTATCATACAGTAACTTAATTGCCCCAGCCAAACCTTTCAGGCTGGATTCATCTGTAGGTCCTTCTATCATTTCCTGCCAAATCAGCTGTCCTGGATAGAAACAAAAAGTAGGCTATGATAGAATAGATGGTTTTGTGATAAAGTCTTCAGGATTTGTTTATACAATGCCATCACTTATATAAGCTATATTCATCACAAAACCCCAATTCTGACAGCATTATAAATTTAAGTTCCTTGTTAACTGTGATGAAATACAGAGAGGTGCCCATTGCTGCATCCTCAGTGATACAAGCACAACCCACTACACCCAGCTATTTACCTGGGTGCTGGGGATCAAAGTCAGATCTTCATGTTTGTACAAGTCCATTACCTGCTGAACTATCTCCCAGCCTCAAAGAACAGTGCCTTTAGTTCAAAAATGATATTACCCTGTCAATTGCTATCATTTTACTAAAACAACTGACATCCTTCTAGAAAGGAGCATGCTTTTATTAGCGTCTTTCAAACATTTGTATTGCTTGCACCACAGCAGCTCAGTCACTTTCCATTTGCTCATCTATCAACAATCTGCTCTGTGGCTTATACATAACATTTTAATTTCAAAATGAAATTCTTGGCTGCTAGCCAACAGGTATTAAAACTGATTATCTATTAATCAGATGAAATAAATAAATGTAAAATTTTTGTTTTGTTTTGTTTTTTTTCAAGACAGGGCTTTTCTTTATAGCTCTGTCTGTCCTGGAACTCGGTTCTGTAGACCAGGCTGGCCTCCAACTCATAGAGATATATCTACCTCTGACTCCCAAGTACAGATAAAATTTTAACATTAATCTAAGCACAACCTAGGTAACAAAAAAATCAGATTAAATTTAGATTGAACCTGAAAATCTAAAACTAAGTAATCCTTGATTTGGGTCACTATTTTGTTTCTTAGCATCATTAGTCCCCTCCAGCAGCAAATATAACTTTGAGTTGCATTAATGTTTGAAATGGAAAAGCAGCATTTACATAAATAAAGAGATGACAGGAATACATCTGGTCTGGATTAGAGCAGAATAATTTCTGTCTTGAAGCTTAGAGTGTGTGGAAGTTAATATCTTTGAAATCATGAAGCACATCTTAAACACTAGGGATGATGAGGTTGTAAGGCCTGGTGACCTGAGGTCCATCCCCAGAAGGCCACAGTATAAAGGGAGAAGTGATTCCTGAAAATTGTCCTATGACCTCCACAGACATGCCATGTTACATGCACAATGAATGAATGAATGAATGAATGAATGAATGAATGAATGTTTATTTGTCTTTTTATTTATTTTTGAGGCAAAGTCTTACTGTGTTAAATCTGACTGGTCTGGAACTTGGTATGTGTCAGAATCTGGTCCAAGAATGGAGTCCTGTGATAATTCTGAGTTCTTGTGAGAACACTCCAAGAAAACAAGACAAGAGCCTTGTGACCCCAGTTTCTTCAAAAACATGAAATTGTTCTTGGAGTGTGTTTTCATGCCCCTCCCAGGCAGATGGGATCAGAGTGAGTTTACTTCAGATTACTCATTACAATTCCCTACTGTTACTGTTTATATGTCTCTATGGAAAAACATGTTTTTGCCACATGTGGCTTGCCCTTGTGATTGGACACTTTACTCATGTGACTCTTCTTAACCCTTAGACTCTGAATAAAGTTGGCTATTGCATGAGACTTCAGTCAGCCTTGTTTTCAGGCTCTATTTTTCTAGGTCCCACTGCCTCTAAAGCAGTAAACAGATATGTAGACCAGCCTGGCCTTGAACTCACAGAGAACTACTGCCTCTACCTCTTTAGTGCTGGTATTAAAAATGTTCACCAATTAGTAAAGTTGTTTTTTGATGTTGTTGTTTGGTTTTGGTTTTTCGAGACAGGGTTTCTCTGTGTAGCTTGGCTGTCCTGGAACTCACTCTGTAGCCCAGGCTGGCCTCGAACTCAAGTAGATCCAACTGCCTCTGCCTCCTGAGTGCTGAGACTAAAGGTCTGTGCCACCATGCCTGGTACCAGTAAAGTTTTTAAAAACTCTTCCTAAAGCAAAAAAATTAGCTAGGTATATAACACACGTGCCTGAAAAAAAAAAAAAAAATAGTGCTTACCATCATGAGAAGTAGTTGGTCCAAAGATAATATATAACAATCTTGCCTGATTCACCATAGGCCATGGCTTTAATATGCGAGTCAACCAAAATGCAGAATCATTTCGATGTGTCCAGTGATCAAGTAGGACATGCCTACAGAACAGTCTAATCCTTAACTCTAGTTTTCGAGAACTTCCTATGAAGAAAAGGGAGTTATGAATCATTTTTCTGGAAAGATTAGTTGCATATTAGTTGGTGATCAAACCAGGTATAAAAACAGAGTCATGTGATCATAAACAGAGTGTATAAACAGGGAATTACCAAGGAGTAAAAAGTGCCCTAACTTTGTAGTTTGACTATCTTCTTGTTCTTACTTTCCTTATTTACCTCAGTAATTTTAATAATGGGTAAGCAAAATCTGAGTTCAATTTTACCAGAATCTTATATAGTTTTAGATTTGTTAATGTAGATATGTCTCATGTGTCAGGCTGACTTTGAACTCCATGTGGTCAATGCTGACTTTAAATTTCAGATCCTCCTGCTTCCACCTTGTAAACACTGGGGTACCTGGTATGTCACTGCACCCAGTTCATGGTGGCAGGGACTCCCCCTCAACTGCGTCCTCAGCACATTTCAGATTTAAAAGACAACAAATGTAAAGAAAGAACAGACAGGCATCATCAGTGTACTTTGTACTAAAAGTGGTACTCTACTTTCTTCCATAAACATTTTAAGATTTATATGATTTCTTTATATTTTTGGCTTAATACTTTCTTCAATTGTCTTTTTTTAATTTTATCTATATGGGTATTTGGACTGCATATATGCCTGTGTACCACATGTGTGCTTAAAATTATTACATTTTAAACTTCTGTGTATGTGCCTATGTGTATGTGTGTGTATATCTGCCATGGTATGTATGTGGAAGTCAGTTTCTCCTCTCCCCATGTGGATCCTGGGGAACTGAGGTTCAAATACCTTTACCTGACAAGTAACAGCCACAGTTTTACATTTTTGAGACTGGGTCTAACACAGTCCAGAATGGGTGCAAATTCTATGTATAGCTAAGACTCCTTGAACTTCTCATATTCCTGCCTTCCATGCTGAGATCAGAGGTATAATGCAGGCCCATTTATTTTTTAAAAATTATTTAATTAATTACTTATTTTTCAAACAGGATATCATGTATTCCAGGCTTGCCTTAGACTCAATATTTAATCAAGGATGACTTCGAATCTCTGATCCTCCTTGTTCCAACTCTAAAGTGCTAGAATGACAGTCATGTGCCACCATGTTCAGTTTCATTCAGTGTTGGGGCATGCTAGGAAAGTCCTCTACATCACTAGAGTACTCCAACTAAACTATATCACCAGAGCCCAAATTCAGTATCACAGCATGAGAGAGAAATATGACATTTCAGGAAAATGAGAAAATGGAAAAAGGTTCCCAGTGAGATACAAATGCAGAAAGGGCACTAAAAACAGTGTATAAAGAACAATACACTGAAGTCAAACAAATACAGTGAACAATAGGTTTGACTTTTTTTTTTTTTTTTTTGAGACAATCTCTTTATGTAGCTCTAGCTATTCTGAAACTCAGTATGTAGACCAACCTGGCCTCAAATTCACAGATTCACTGCCTCTGCATCTCAGTGCTGGGATTAAAGGTGTGTGCCACCATGCCCACTAGGCAGTGAGTATGAAAAAGTATATGGGAATCAGAATCTGAAGGTTCATTTATATAGCTTAGATTTTATTTTGAATATGTTAGGAAGCTAACAGAAGGCTTTGATCAGAAAAAAGTCATGTTAACTTTTTAAATCAGGTCATTGGTTTCTACATGGCTTCATTTGGGTTTTCCAGGAGGCTGAGGCAGGAGGGTCGTAAATTTGAGGCTAGAGTGACCTACATCAAGCTGGAGAACAGCCTGTGCTACACAGTGAGACGCTTGGTGCAGCTCAGTGGTAGAACCTACTACGTCAGTACTCCAGGTTCAATCCTCAGCAGCTCTCCACCCAGACGAAAGAAACATGAGACTTTTAATAAGAAAGTACATTAGTAAATCTGCCTTCTTATCTATAATTTTTTATGGTGAAGTATTTCAATTTGACAGAAAAGTAAAAACATGATAAAGAGTGCTTACAAATGAAGTAGCTTAGTCAAAGCTTTCCATCTTTCCATGTTTGCCTCTGGGTTTATAAAATAAATAAGCATTACAGATGCTGAGTTTCTTGTTTACCAATGCCAATCACTCTCCCCTGAAGAATCACTGTCTGGGTCTGTCCCTGTCCTTCTATGTTAAGTTAGGCAGGATTATCCAGAGAAAGAACCAAGAGGAAACAGGTCACACCCACATGGTAGCATAGGGTATCCAGCTTATGTGGTGGTAGAGGTGGAGCCCTACCAACTGAGCTACATCCCAGCCCTCCACAAATAGCTTCACATATACTTTTGAACTTTACTTAACATTTCATCTCTGTACAATACTATCTTTGAACTAACAGTCTTTACCTGGTTTGTTACAGACAACAGTCTGCATCTTACGAGAGAGATTAGTCAACTCACATAAGAAGTTATAAACACGATGACATTCGATTTCATCCCAACCTGCTGTTAAGGTCTAAGGAAAACAGAAGAAACATTGTACAAGTTCAGACACAAATTGGAAGGGAAAGCCAATATTCCCTAATGTCCATAAGCTGTTTGTAGTATTTGGCCTAGGTAATGTGCAATTTTTACCCTCTCTAGACCTATCCAAATTCATGAGAAATTTGCATAATCACAACCTAGAAAATCTCCAAAATCTTGTTTCTTTTTGGTTGGAAGTATCTTTTAAGAGAATTTTTTTTTCTCAAGATAAGGTTTTTCTATGAAGCCTAGCTGTCCTGGAACTCACTCTATAGACTAGGCTGGCTGGCTCCTGCCTCTGCCTCCCAAGTGCTAGTATTAAAGGAATGCACCAGTACTGCCCAGCAAAAATTCAAGTTCCTTATAAATTTATTACTTTTATTTTGATTTATGTTTATGTGTCTGTGAGGTTATGCCACATGAGTGTAGGTACTTGTGGAAGCCATGAGAGTTGGAGCTGCCCTGCTGTGGTGCTGGGAACCAAACTTTGGTGTTCTGCAAGAATGTAAAATACTCTTAACTGATGAACCATGTCTATAGCCTTCTCTTTGGACCTCTAACTCACTACTGAACTATGAGTGGCCTCAAACCCCACACCTGCCTGCATCAAGTCTAACTAATGGGCCTGTAGTCTTGGTTTTATGACTTAGTTTTTAAAATTAAATTACATTAAACTAAATCAATTATTAATTTATTTCTGTGTATGTGTGTGAGAGTGCATGTGGCCACGGAGAACACACACAGGAGGATGTCAAGTATTCTCCTCTACATGCTCCTTATACCTTGGGGTAATCCCTCACGAAACATAGAACTTGTAGTTTTGGGCGATGCTGGCAGCCAGCAAGCTCCAGAGGATACAGGTCATAGGGATAATGGAAGCTTTTTACTTAGGTGCTAGGGGTTTGAATTTAGGTCTTCACACTTGCACAGTAAGTACTCTTACCTTCTAGACTATTGTTTTGGTCCCTGTGGTTTTATAGTAGAACTTTTAAGACTCTTACACCTGTCATTTTGATATTGTTTACAAATGATAACAATACCATTTTAATGTGATAATTGTATTTGATAACGACTTGTTTGTTTTTTAATAAATAAGACAAGTCTCACTATGTAACCCTGGCTGGCCTATAAATCATTAAGTAGTTCAGGTGGTCCCCTAACTCACAGAGATTGGCCTCTGCCTTTAGAACACTGGGATGAAGGTATGTACTACCATGCTTGGCCCCACATATAAGTTCTTAAAATAACTGACTGGATTTCAATACTTTAAAAAATAATCTTCTGGGACAACGAGATGGCTCAGCAGATAAAGGGGCAAAACCCAACCCAAGGGATGGAAGGAGCACTGACTGGCTCCCATAAGTTGTCCCTCTGACATTTCAACATACACACATTAAAAACATTTTTTAAAATTTATTTTATGTGTATGAATGTTTTTCTTGCATATATGTATGTGTATTATGTGTATGTCTGATGCCCAAGAAGGTCAGAAGAGAGCTGTAGGACCTTCTACACCTGGAGTTTGGATGGTTATAAGCTACCACATGCATCCTGGAGATTGAACCTAGATCCTCTGGAGGAGCACCTAGTATCCCTAACTGCTGAGCCATCTCTCTAGACCCACACACTCTTAAAAAAAATAATTAGCTGGGCAGTAGTGGTGCACACCTTTAATCTCAGTGCTTGGGAGGCAGAGGCAGGCGGATCTCTGAGTTTGAGGCCAACCTGGTGTACAGAGTGAGTTCTAGGACAACAAGGGCTACATAGAAAAACCTGCCTAGAAAAGTCAAAATAAATAAATAAATAATCTTCAATCCCAGCACCCTATAATTTAATTTTATTCCTTCTGAAATGAGAGAAATTTCTAAGCAGTAATTATTTCTGATGAATAAATCAGTAGGTGGAAGACAGGCCTAGGAGGGGGGCTTTTTATTTTATATATTTTGTTCCTTTTGAATTTTGCATGAATACTTATCATAATACTTAGTCCAAAGATAGAAAGTGCAATACAAATTGGAAAAAGAAAAGTCTGTATGGGAAGAGTGTTGGTAGGAAGTCCTGGACTCTGGGTATGGAGGAGTTGGCGGCTGGCAGCCTGGGGTACAACATCAGGTTCTCAAGTGCTGTCCTGAGGAATGTGGGGACAGCCTAAATTTTAAATTATTGTTTTAAATTGAAATATGTTAAATTCATGTAAAGTGTTTAGGACAGTGTCTGGCAGATAGTTATAAGGCTTAACAAATGACATTTTTCATTTTCATTTTAATAAATATTCCTGAAATAATAAACTGATTTCTAAAGTTACATTTCAGAAAACTGGTCCACAAATTTGTTGTTGTTATTTTTTGAGACAGGGTTACTCTGTGTAGTGTAGGCTGTCCTAGACTTGCTTTGTAGACCAGGCTGGCCTGCAACTCACAGAGATCCACCTGCCTCTGCCTCCCTGAGTGCTGGGATTTCAATTGTGAGCCACCTACCTGGTTTAGTCCACAAATTTAATCTCAAAATACTCATTAAAAAGCCAGGTGTAGTGGTGCACACCTTTAATCCCAGTATTTGAGGCAGAGGCAGCAAATCTCTGAGCTTGAGGCCATCTTGGTTTACATAATGAGTGCCAAGACAGCCAGAGCTACATACTGAGACCCTGACTCAAAACAAAACAGAACAAAACAAAACAAACAAATTATAAATACATGTACACATATACCACCTTTAGTCTCTTAAACTAGCTAGAGGTTTGGGTTGCAGATCAGTGGTAGAATGCTTACCTGGTATCTCTAAGGACCTAGGTTAAATCCTCGGTCACACATACACACACACACACACACACACACACACACACACACAAGTTTTACAATGTTACTTTGTTTTATAGTTTCTATTACTGCAACAGGGATTCTATGCTTTACTTGTGAACAGTTCAAAATCATTCCTTCCTTCTTTCATTAAACAATGTACCTGTAAAAACACTCCATAACATGGTAATCCCAAACATTGCAAGGGAGTCGAACAGCCACTGAATTTAAAACAGGAAACCTGTAAAGAGAACCACTGTTAGTGGACCCATACAATTACTAACTTGACATAAGTTTACTGGAGGAATCCCTCCCCCAACCCCCAGACAGGACTTCTTTGTGTAGCACTGCTATCCAAGCTAGCCTCAAACTCAGAGATCCACCTGCTTCTACCTCCCTCTCCTGAGATTAAAGGTGTGCACTACCAGGCCTGGCTATTGGAGACATCTTGAGACAGGGTCTTCCTCTGATTAAAGAGGAAAAAACAAACAAACAAAAAACAAAACCAAAAAAACAACAAACTCCATTGCAGAAAACCTGCCAACAGATCAAAATGAAGAGAACAAGCTGGGTGTGGTGGTGCATGCCTTTAATCCCAGCTCTCAGGGACGCAGAGGAAAGTGGATTACTGTGAGTTTGAGGCCATCCTGGTCTATACATCGAGTCCAGGACAGTCAAGGCTATACAGAGAAACCCTCTTTAGAAAACAACAACAAAAAACAAAAAATAAATAAAAATTTTAAAAAATTAAAAAAAAAAATGCAGACAAGTGATTCTTTAGTGCTTAGCTCCAACAGATCTATCTGCAACACAATTCCTGCACCAAAGGCTCAGAGGTCACCATGGAGAGGGGTTGGAAAGATTGTTAAAAGTAAAAAAAAAAAAAAAAAATAGGGAGTCTGCTGTGAGATTGTGTCTCCTAGAAATGTCAGGGAAGCAATACTCATGAAGCCTCATCAGCACAGTTACCTAAAGACCTGAACGAGAAAGACCAAGAGACATGCTACCATGGAAAAGGGAAATCTCATGGTGACTCAAAACTAGACAAAAAAAACTATAGGCATCTCTAGAATGCAGGGAGCAGGACAAACAGGCTTCCCTGGGGAAAGCCACCCACCTGGCATTCCAATAGCAAGTGGGCAGCCCTGAAATAATGTATATACAAATAAGAGTATATGGACTGAGCAGGTTTTATTTACATATTTAGGAATGTGTGTGTGTGCAATAAAATAAATAAAAAGAAGGAAATGACAATTATATTTTCTTTAAAATTAATGTTGGGCATGGTAACACTACTTATTTGTTTTTGTGTTTGTTTTTTGAAACAGTTTTGTAGGCACAATGTTATTGCACACTGTTTAAAAATTCAAATGCTGACTTCAGTGCCCCCATTATCTGGCTGCAGTCCTTGTTCTAGAATCTCCTGTCTCAATGTTGTGTAAACATTGTTCCCCAATTGTCCTGATATGTCAATAAAGAAGCTTAATAGCCAATGACTGAGCAAGGGTAGAGAATAGGGCTGGACTTCCTGCCAGTCAGGGGAGGAGGAGAGAGAGGGAGGAAGTGGGGATTCAGCCAGGAGGATAGGTCTAGGAGACATGGGAGAGACCAACTGGAGCAAAGAAAGCCATAAAATGCAAGTATCTTGGGGATTCATGCTGGAAGGAAGGCAGATTAGCTTGGAGGGTTAAAATAGATTAATACTGATCAGTTCTTGTGCCATAAAGCTTGTTAAATAAATATAATAGTCCAGTTTCAATCATTTGAGTGCTACAAGTTGGGTTAAGAGAGAAACTGCAACACATTTTTAAAACAACCGCTAACATTTTGGCATGTTAACTGGCTACAGAACTTACATAGAATCTAAACTTAGACAGAAACAAGTACTTCCTGTGTAGAGAGCAATTTCTCAGTTCGGCTCATTAAAAAACAAAACAACAACAACAACAAAACAGTTAATTAGCAACCAGAGTTTCTCAGGCAGGAGCTCATGGCTCATTGCTGACTCTCTCCCTGCCCCAGGTGCAGCAAGGCCCACAGCTGCAGGAAACAAAAACAGGAACAAGTAGGCAAAGCAGAGGCAGCTCTTCAAAGAGGCCCCTGCTGAGAAACAAAACAAAAACTGGCTCTTTAACAAACAGGCAAGTTCCCAAAGCCAGATGCAATGTCCTAGCCAAGGCAGGGGGCTAAAGTCTCTTTGAGAAGGGGCTCCTGCTGGCCTGACTTGTGCTGGCCAGAGGAGCAAACACCTGTAGACCCAATAGCTTCCCAGAGTTGGGGAGGGGTCAGGATCCAGGGCAGAAGGCAGAAATGCCTCTCCCTGTGAACTAAAGGGGCATGGCAACTCAAAACTTTGGAAGCAGGAGCCAAAGACAGACTGAGAAGCCCCAAGCCAGTCTGTACTGGTAAGGTATTAAGCTTGGGATACAGTGAAAAAGAAGGAAAGAAAATCACCGGAAGAAGATTTTGTTTGAGTAGAAGGAAGTAAAAACCATGTTTGTCTCCAGTTCCAGAGAATCCAAAACACTCCTCCATAAGCACCAGGTATGAAGTGTGGTGTACATATATACATGCAGACAAAACACTCATACATATAAAATGAAATAAATCTAATATTTTTAGCCATGCAGTGGTGGCACATGCCTTTAATCCTGCACTTGGGAGGCAGAGGCAGTTGGATCTCTGTAAGTTTGAGGCCAACCTGGTCTACAGATCATGTTCCACGACAGCCAGGGCTACACAGAGAAACCCTGTCTCAAAAATTCTTATTGAATGTTAATGATCAAAATACAACAGCTGCTGAGAGACACTGCATTATGGGAAAAAAACCTAAATTAGAACAGCCTATCTATTTTAAGGATGTCCTAACTTAACAATGGAAAACAGGAAATATGTTGTGTTAGGGAAGAGATTTTGTCTTTGTTTCTACTATGGATTCCATCCAAATTGATAAAAATCAGGTTTGTCAGGGAAGACCTAAAGATTTTGGCTGCAGACAGAAGGAAAAAAAATAAAGAGGACCAATCAGGACCGGTAACATAATTTGCTGAATCCTCTACATGGGAAGAGCTCTGAGACTGGCAGAGACATGAAAATGTCTCCGGCTAGGACTTGAACTCATAGCTGATACATCTTTGGCTACAAATTCCTCAGGACTTATCACACCATTCTTTTAAATGGCATACATTAAAATTTATATTGCAGTTTGGTTCTATAGTCCAAAGTAAACAAGTAAACAAAGTAAACAAAGTAAACAAGTAAAGCAAATGTTTTACTTGTTTGGACAGACAGCAGAGAATCATCTTTAACTGAACTGTGCTCATTGTACATTTCTGGGGTTGGGGATTTAGCTCAGTGGGTGCTTGCCTAGCAAGCGCAAGGCCCTGGGTTCGGTCCTCAGCTCTGGGAAAAACAAACAAATGAAAAAAAAGAACCCAAAACAAACAAAAACAGAGAGAGAGAGAGGAAGGAAGCCTAAAGCAATTTAAAAGGCTGTTGAGGTTCTGGGAGAAAGACACAGGAGAGGAAAAGCACCTTTGAGCCAATTTCATGGTGGCTAATAACAGCTGCTTTGTTTCTTTCTTTTTATTTTATTTATTTATTTTTTTTGAGGCAAGGTTTCTTTTAGTCCAGCCTGGCCTTGCACTGGTTATATACAAGAGATGACTGTGATTTCCTGATCTTCAATCCTCTGCCTCTTGATTGCTGTGATGACAGGCCTGTGCCACTGCTCTTGGTTAAGAGGTGCTAGGGATCAGATCATACTAAGTAAACAATTTATCAACTGAGCTGCATCTCCAGCCCATGAGTCACCACTTTAAACAACTTTGGTAGCTGTGAAAGAGATGATAAGTCATCAAATAGAGTGCTTGTCTCACAAGCCTGAGGACCTGAATTCAATCCTGGAACCCATGTGAAGAAAAAAGGGACTGCCCTCCACATGTGCACCATGGCATACATACCATAACGCACACATAAATAAGCATTATTAAATGCCCACTAACTGCTTTGTTATTTTTGAATGGTATAAAATATACTGTACAATTCTTTGAAGATTTATTTTATTTTATTTTGCTATTTATTTATATATTTTTTGGTTTTTCAAGACAGTTTCTGTGTAGCCCTGGCTGTCCTAGAACTAGCTCTGTCCTAGAAGAACTAGCTCTGACCTAGAACTCAGAGACATGCCTGCCTTTGCCTCCCAAGTACTAGGATCAAAGGCATGCATCACCACCGCCAAACTATTTTTAATTATCTGTATTTGTATGTGTATGTTCAGGTGCCTGCAGAGGTCAAAGGTATTGGATCACCTGCACATTACAGGTGATCAAAGTTATAAAAGGCTGCAAGTTACCCTACTAGGATACTAACAATGAAAGTTGAGTCTTCTACAAGACTTTCAGTCTTAACCACTGAGCCCTCTCTCCATGTTTTTCCTAAACACATATAACTATGATACATTTTAATTTATAAATTAGACAATAATAATAATAACAACAGAATAATTATAATAAATTGTAACAAAATTAGCAACATCATTAGTCTTCACCTTTGAAGACTTTGCTAAGTAAAAGCAGGGCTGCTGGGCAATGGTGGTGTGTGCCTTTAATGTCAGCACACAGGAGGCAGAGGCGGGCAGATCTCTGTGTGGTCTACAGAGTGAGTTCTAGAACAGCTAGGGCTACACAGAGAACCCTGTCTCGAAAATCAGCCAACCAAAAACAAACAAACAAACAAAAACCAGGGTTTCCTGAACATAAATATTACAATATAAGAACAGTAGATCTGATAATAACAGATAATAGCATAGTAGATGGTAGATGACTACTAGGTAACTAATGGGTAATAGCATAAGCAGTGTGAACACATTGGACAAAGTGATGGAATGGAATATACTGACAAGAAAGAACACAACCACTCATGATGGTGCACAGTGTAACACTCATGAATTCTTTGTTTAGTATTTCTCATATTTTTACTGAAGCTAATTGTGGATAACTAAAATTGTAGACAAAAGAGATTACTATATTCTATTGTAACAATCTCTTGAGTTATGAGAAAGTATTGGGTTATAATTGATCAATTTTTGGTGTTAATTCATGAAATCTCATTAATTATAGGTTTAGGAAGCCAGGTGGTAGTGGCACATACCTTTAATCTCAGCACTCAGGAGGCAGAGGCAAGTGAATCTCTGGGCTTGAGCCACTCTGGTTTGCAGAGTGAGTTATGGGACAGTCCAGGCTACACAGAGATCTTGTCTCAAAAAAAAAAGAAAAGAAAAGAAAAAAGATTAGAGCTAGAGAGATAATTCAGTGGTTAAGAGTGCTTGCTCTTCTTTCAGGGCATCTGAATTTGGATCCCAAAACTCACATAGAATGGCTCACAACTACCTGTAACTCCAGAGGATCTGACATCTTTTTTGGCTCCAATAGGCACCGACAAACAGAAACACACACATAGACATAATTTTGAAAACCTTGTTTTTAAAGGATAGACTTGGAGTTAGATGACTCAGCAGTTAAGAGCACTTGCTCTTCTTGCAGGGGACCCAGGGTTGACCCCCACATCCACATGATGGGTCCAGTTCCAGGGGATCTGATGCCTTTTTTGGCTTCCATTAGTACCCCACATGCAGATGATTCATAGGCATACATACAGGTAAAACATTCAAACATACAGAAATTTAGAAAGATAGGCTTAGAAAGACTCTATGACAGTGATTAGTTATCTTTACTGGAAAGCGAGATTGTGAAGTCATTCTGGTGTATGACCTTACTTCTGAGAGTATCTTGTGAATGTACTTTAGTCTTTCCTTGGTGGGAAGCAGCAAAGTGCATCTTTTAAATAGTAAACCTAAGGAGGAAAAAGAGACATAAGGGGAAAAAATTACAACAATGAAATTAATTTAAGTTTATCAACAGGTTAGTAAAACAGTCCCTAAAAATTAAGTATGCTGTACCAATGTGAACTATGATACATTTTTTTACACAGATATTTGGGAGGTAAGATAAACACATACACTGCATGACAATCATCAAATGGTGCTGATGACCATCTGGCTTTAGAAAACCCAAAACCTTGTTATATAGATAATTAGGACACATGTCAGAGAATCTGATTTAAAAAGACAATAAGGCATAAAGATATACTAGGGAGACTTTATTCTGTAGGAAATAGCTCTTGGAATTAACCTCATGTCAACAAAAGAAAACTTAAAAATTGTGTAAAATATGGAAAGAAGAGATTTTTTTATTTCTTTCTCTAAATGTAAAAAGTTAGCTGGGTGTGTTGGAACACACCTTTCATCTCAGAAACCAGGAGGCAGAGGCAGGTGGCTCTCTGTGAGTTTGAGGCCAGGCTGATCTACAGAGCTAGTTGTTCCAGGAAAGCCAAGACTAGTAAAAAAAATAAAGAAAGAAAGAAAAAAGAAAAAAAAGTGTCAGAACACATAAAATTGAAAGAAAGAATTAGCCAGGGGTAGTGGTGCATGCCTTTATTTTCCCAGTACTTAGTAGGGAAAGGCAAGAGGATCTCTACGAGTTTGAAGTTTGAAGCTAGCCTTGTCTATGCAGGACTCTGTTGTCTCAAAAAAAAAAAAGTTATTATTTAAAATTTCAGAGGTTAGAAGTCATTTTTGCTTAAAGAAATTATACAGATTGGATTAAATGACTATCTCTTCAAAATCTGTTTTTTTTTTTTTTTTTTTTTTTTTTTTTTTTTTTTTTTTTTTTTTTAAACAGGCTTTCTCTTGCCTGTCCTGGAACTAGCTTTATAGACCAGGTTAGCCTTCCACTCATAGAGATCTGCCTGTCTTTGCCTTCTGGTATTGGGATTAAATCTATGCATTACCACACTTGATTTTATTTAACTTTCATGGGTGTCAGTGTTTCACCAGCATGTATCGTGTGCACAGGGCAGGGGATCACCTGAAACTGGAATTACAGAGAGCTGTGAGCCACCATGTGGGTGCTGGGAAACAACCCCAGTCCTTGCAAGAGCAACAAGTGCTCCTAGCCACTGAACCACCTTTCCAGCCCCTCAAAATATTTTATAGGGCTTGTATGTTAATAATGTGTAGGGTGCTGTGTCATGATATTGAAAACAAGAAAAAAAAAAACTTCCAATTTCTCAGTAAAATGTTCTTTGAACTGTAGTGACAGTGAATTTTAGTGAATGGTTTATTTCCCCTGAGAATTGTGTTTTCCTAACATGGCAATACACTGCTAATAGTTCTATAAGGACAAATGGCATTCAGCTAAAAATGATATGCATGGAAAGGAAAGATACACTTGAACATCACCACTTTCTTCAGGTTTTACTCTTTATATAATATAATCACACTTCTCTATCTTTACTCTTTACATAATAAAAATGATTATATAATCTTGAAGAATCTATAGGAACCAAGTTTATTTTTAGAAGTTGCTATGTTTGGGTAACACATGACCAGAATTGAATTTTAATCACACATCCTCATTTTTGCTTATAGGAAGTTATTTTCAGTGCTTGGCTGAGTTCTTTTCCTTTCATGTTTTGGCATCATGTCTCATGTTATATCATAGCTGGAACTGCCAGATAAAACTGCATACTGGTTGCCTTTTCTACTGCAAATCTCCTATTTTTAAGAGTTGCTATTTACCATAAAACCCTTTATTTGGCTGCCTTTTTTTCTAAACACAGGTACTCATTTTCAGAGACCATCTTCTTTTTCTTTTTTTCCTTTTTTTTTTTTGTCTTGAGACCCAGCTTCTTTTAAGTTCTTGAAGTAAAATAATGTCAGATGCAGTATACTTTCTACATTGGCCATCTGCTCTGTTCAGTAGAAAATGCAAATTAAAAATTATAATCTTCAAAGTTAAGATTCTGAAAAATGTTATTTCAATATCTAAAGACAGGAACAGATCAGATAGGAACGGAAACATGAGAAAGCGCTGAGTATGTCAAACATTTACCAAAAGAACTAATCAGAAAACAGGTATCTACAAAAAAATGGATAAAAAAAATTAAAACTAATATATTAATCAAACCTTTTTTGAAGATTAGGTATTAAGATCATTGACTATATTTTTAATTGAATTGTCCATGTAATTATCATTTGTTTGTTTGTTTTCAATGTGGTGCTGCAGATGTAACCCAGGGCCTTGTTTATTTACTTGTTTGAGACTGTCTCAGGTAGCCTAGGCTAGCCTCACCCTCACTATGTAGCTGTGATTGGCATGAACTCCCATTCTACCGCCTTCACTTTTTACAGTATTGTGATTAATAAGCATGGGCCACAAGCTAGGCAAGCACTCTACCATTGGCCTCTACTTCCAGACACTAGAACTGGGTTTGCTCAAGCAGCTGAAACTTGATCAGGGGAAAAAATAAAAATAAAAATAAAAATAAAGAATGTCTTTAGACCAAACCCAAAAGACAATCATCACATATTCAGTTCCAGGCTTTACTAAATCTACTTACAAAAACTGAAACTAACACTGTATTTAGACTATTTTATTTTTTAAAAAATAGGTTTGTAAGTCAGGCATTGGTAGTATATGCCTTTAATCTCAGAATTTAGGAGGCAAAAGCAGGTGTATCTCTCTGAGTTCAAGGCAGCCTGGTCTATAGAGTGAGTTCCAGGACAGCCAGGGCTACAAAGTGAGACCCTGTCTCGAAAAACAAATTTTAAAAAAATATTTATTTTTTATTTATTTGTCTATATATCCCTGTATGTATTTGAGGCAGTCAGAATAGGGTGTTGGATCCCCTGGAACTGGAGTTACAGAGGGTTGTGAGCTATCATGTGGGTGCTGGCAACTGAACCCAAGTCTTCTAGAAGAACAGCCAGTGCTCTTAACCTCTGAGCCATCGATTTTCTTTCTTCTTTTCTGCCTTGCTTCCTTCATTTCTGTGCTGTTGGAGACTGAACCTAGGTCCTCATCTCATGTATGCTAGGGCACGCTTTGCCACTGAATCTCTCTAAATTGCTCAGGCTGGCTTTGAACTCTATAGCCTTGAATTCACAATCCTCTTTGCCTTAGACTCCTAATTAGGCTGTTATTATAGGCCTCCACCACAAGCTGTAATTAAGGAATTTACATCACTTTGCTTCTTTAAGGCTAGGCATTCCTGTGTTTCTAAAAGGCAAGATTTATTCAGCTTACTGTGTATTTAAATCCCAACAACATTCTGATATTTGGTTTTATTGCCATGTTTTTGGTTAATATATTTTAGTTTCATGTTAAATTGGTATCATTAGTCAAACTGAAACTAGAATTTCATTTAGCACTCTAGGGAAAACAAAATCAATGAATGGAGTAAAAGATACAAATTATTTTATATCAAGGGAGGAAAATGATATAGTAGTTTTTTTGATAAGGTCAATTTAATTATAGCATAATGATTTATTACTAAATGTGTAGCATACTTAAAGAAAATCATAGATTCTGATAAGAGAATAATGATCTATAGTGTATTTAAATTTATACTTTTAAGGACTAGATTATGGCTGAAAGGAAATATTAGTTCAGAATAAAATTTAGCTAGGCAGTGGTGGCACATGCTTTTAATCTCAGCACTCAGGAGGCAGAGGGAGGAGGATCTCTGTGAGTTCAAGGCCAGCCTGGTCTACAGAGGGAGTTCTAGACAGAGAAACCCTGTCTCAAACAAAACAAAACAAAAAAACCCTCTAAGCCACAAGGTACAAAGGCAAAACATACAGAAAAGACATCAATTCCCAAAGCTGGTATACTACCTGAACTATAGCAAAAGTTATACTATATCCCTGTAAAACCACTAGGACAGGCACTTTATTAAAGACTATTTGTGTAATTAGTTAGAGTTAGGCATCTCCCCCTTCCAGACAAGGTTTCAGGAAAGTGGCTATAAACTCATTATGACCTTGAACTATGACCTTTATCCTTGTGCCTCCACTTCCAAAGTACTAGGACTACAGGCAAGTGCCACAGACACCCAGTTTATGCGGCGCTAAGGATGAAACCCAGGGATTCCTGAATGCTAGGCAAGCACACAACAAACTGAGCTGAGTTCTCAGTCCTCTAAAGGTTTTTTGAGGCAGAGTTTCACACCTTTGTCCAGGCTGGCTTGGAACTAAGAAATTCACTGCAGGGTAAAGGCTGGGCTCAAAGTGATTCTCTGGCTTTGGTTTTCCAAATGCTAGAATTACAAGTGTAAGCCATAGTGATCAGCTTTTATCTTTAGAGTGTGTAGGACTACTGTTAAGGTCTTTACGTTGAAAATAAAAATACCATGGCAAAAAGAAAAATTTCCAGGAAATATACTACAAGCCACCAGCCTTACAGATTACATAATAAAATACAGTTGTGAGTATTCTTTGTTTGCTGTAGTTTCATTTTATAGATTACCTAGAGCTCGGTAGTGCTCCAGTATAGCAGTGTCCTCTTTTGTGCCAGGCAGAAGGTCATGAAAATTCTGTAGTAAAAGTCTTCTACTTCCAGATGAGGTTGAGATATAATTAGTAATGTGCTGGCTGACTGTTTTGGACACCATACTTAACATGCCGATATCCTTCACTATCAAAAAGAAATAAATTTATATAAAGTGAGTGAAAATGATTTAAATTGCTGTTAGAATACTCTATTGATGTTTTTCTCTATTAACTTTCGTAAACTAAGAATACAAATGACTTAAATACAAAAGCAGCACCATCTGTACAGTCTATTAACTTATAAACTAACTTAATAGTGATAAACCTAGTGAGAGTGTGTTGGCTCACACCTGCAATTTCAGCATTTTGGGAGGCTGAGGGAAGCAAATTGCTAGGTGCTTGAAGCCAACCTGAGCTGTAGTGTACGTTCCAGGTCAGCCTGGGCTAGGAGTGAGAGCCCAAAGCACAAAACCAAAAGAAGAACAAACGGAGTGCTTAAAAAATATCTTAATGTTTTAAATCTAGTTTTCAACAGTTAAAAACATGTTGCAAAATAACAACCAAGCTACCATGTTATTAGTGTCCAGATAATTCAGATGTGGTAGTAGTTGTTTTGGGTTTTGGTGATTTTTTGTTTTTTTCTGTGTACCCCTGGCTGTCCTGGAAACTGGCTCTGTAGACCAGGCTTGCCTGGGACTCAAAGATCTGCCCGCTTCTGCTGGGTTTAAAGGCTGTTGTCGTTTTAAGACTGGGTTACTCTCTACTTAAGACAGTAGACGAGACTGGCCAGGAACTCAGTGAGATACTTCTGCCTCCCAAGTACTGGGATTAAAGGCATGTATCACCACAAAAGTTTTGTTATTTTTTTTTTTTCCCTTGACAGGATCTTGCAATATAGCCCAGGCTGACCTGGTATATGTGATTGCCTTAGCATCCTTGGTGTGTGCTCTGTCCAACCTACAGTATCTCTATAGAACTTGAACACTATGGCAGGCAGTACTCAGTACTACCAAGCCTGTTGCCTCTTGTAGTTACTAAAGTAAACTTTTCCATTGAAAAGACAGAGGAAGGGGGAGAATGAACAAAAATGGAACTTTATATTTAATTTTAGCTACAGGGCAGAGAAGTGGTCAGTGGGCCCTTAGAAAATAAATTCAGTATAAATGTTATTAATATTCCCATATGGTATAACATAGCCCAAATAGAGAGGACAAACCAATACTTGGGGAAAATGATAATACTGTAATAGCTTATATAACCTACTTTTAGATACCAAACCTCACCTGATAAATATCTTAAAATTATGTGGAAAATTTCCAATGGTAAGACTTTAAAATCTCCAAGCGTAGATAAGAGTTGATGATCTGAATCAAGGGTGTTGGAAAAATAGCTGGATTGATGATTAGTACGTCTACATTTTTGATTGGGTATTAAAGTGAAACTGGTATTTACTCTAGATGCCATGTTTTCTTATCCCATAAATTTATCCTGGTTGGAAAAATAAAGCAAAAGACACAAAGAAAGAAAATTAAGGCAGTGAAGTTCCTTTTTAAATTAAGAGTCACACTTTCTGTTTTTTTTTCCCTCTTGTTGATCAAACCCAGGGCCTCAGGCATGCCAGACAAGCGCTCTCCCAACTGAGGTGCAGCCCTAGTCCAAGGTGCAGATCCTGATGGGCAACACCTGTCTTCCCACGTTATAAAATATTTACTATAATGTCTGATCATGGCACACCCATCCATCTCAGCATTATTTGAAAAACTTTAAATCCTTAACACTTCTTGGCATCCTGTCTACCCTTAGATAGAATAAGACTTTTCATAAGAAATGAAACATTTAAAAGTAGGTCTGGAGGCACATGTTTGTAATCCCAGATATAGAGGCAGAAGGATCACAAGTTCAAGGCCAGGCAGGGTTGTTGAGACCCTGTGTGAAAAACAAACATGCAAAAAAGAAAGAAATGAAACATGTAGTTGGATGAAATATATTCTAAGAGAAGAAAAAAGCAAAATAGAAAAAAAAAAGATTTCATATAGTTTAACTTGTGGGCAGACTTATAGACTAGTGCAAAAATAAACTGCAACCTGAATTCCCTGTCTAATCTAAATTTTGATAAGTATGAAGGAACATGGTGGGGGAGGAAAGAGAAAAAAATTGTCACAAAAAGCCATTACAGCATAAAATATATTCAGTATCAACATAGGTATGAAGGATGGAGTGCAGCTCAGTGACAGAGTAATTACCAAGTATTTGAGCCCCTGGGTTTAATCTCAGCCTTACAAAATTAAAACAACAAACAAAGGCCTATAATGTAATATCTACCATCAGTATATTTCATTTACTTTTTTTTTTTTTTTTTTTTTTTTTGAGACAGGCTCTCTATACTTAGCACTGGCTGTCCTGGAAAACTCTGTGTAGAACTCATGGAAATCCACCTGCCTTTGCCTCCTGAGTACTGGGATTAAAGGCATGTACTATCAGGGCTGGTTTACTTTTACAGCTTTTATAGATTAAAAATATCAAAGTACTACTGTAGCTTTAAATATCTGTAGAAATATTTTTGAAAAAATTTTTATATATTTTTAAAAGATTTATTTATTATTTATACAGTATTCTGCCTGCATGTATGCCTACACACCAGAATTGGGTACCAGATCTCATTACAGATGGTTGTGAGCCACCATGTGGTTGCTGGAAATTGAACTCAGGACCTTTGGAAGAACAGAAACTGAGCCATCTCTCTAGCCCCTTTTTGAATATTTTTATATTTTATTTACACTAAGTACTGAGAGGCTTCTGTTACAAACAGTAAAAATAAAAAAACCCCACAATTTTAGAGCAATTTAAATGGCCCACCTGTAATAGATTAAAACTGGTAATGATACTATTACTAGTTGTGTGCTGAATAATATACAAATAAGCAATGAAGGGGATTTAGAAGAAGAGTTTAACTATGTGGGCCAGGCTAGTCTCAAACGTGATAGACTGCTGCTTCAGTCTTCCAAGTGCTGGGATTAAAGGTATACTAGCACTGCATCTTGCTTAAAATTGAAGTTATACGGTTACATAGGAAGTGAAGAATACATTTCCCTCTTTTAAAGTTTTTGTAAGTAACAGTTACTAAGACTTTCGTAAGCTGGGTGTAGTGGTGCATGCCTGTAATCCCAGCTCTCAGAGACAGGCAGATGGATGAGCTCGGGGCCAGCCTGGTCTACAAATCCAGTCCAAGACAGCCAAGGCTACACAGAGAAACCTTGTCTTGAAAAACAAACACACACACACACACACAAACCGAAAAAGACTTTCCTATATGTCTTAGGAAAGACTTATACAGCTTTTTATAGTCATTTCCTAAAGGAAATTTATTAAAAATAGTATTAAAATTAATGATTATGTGCTTACACTAACCATAACACTTTAGAGGTAAAGTAAGCATCACACAGTGACTTTGTATCACTCCACTCTTCTAATCCAGAAAACCATATATTCTGTTTTGTATGTATATGCCTACAACTCCAATTTAAGGTCTCTGATGGAGCCCAAAGCAACAACTAAGACATTCCATCAAAGAGTTACAATATAGCTAAGCAAAATATACAAAATAACTAAAGCCCACATCATACTTATCTATCTTGCATCTGTACATCTTGGTTTACATCAAGTCAAAATTGTTGCACGTTTGAAAACATGACAAAGAACTTTACTTCTCCGTTAAAAACATAATCTGCCCCTCCATTAAGACTTTAACTGTGGAACCTGGGTGATGGTGGTATAGGCCTTGAATCCCAGCACTAGGGAGGCAGAGGCAGGTGCATCTCTGAGTTCAAGGTTACCGTGTTCTATAGAGTGAGTTCAAGAAGAGCCAGGGCTACAGAGGAAAAAAAAAAAGACCATAACTGTGCTTGCTTCAGCACTCAGTGAAATTTTAAATTAGTAATTGTAAAAATAATGATTATAGTTACATAATATGTCAAATGCTTACAAAATACAGCTAAGTGAAAAATTTCATTTATGAATTTTGGTGTTTATATTGTAGAAATTTTATATTTGGTACATTTACATGCTTATTTTTAACAAAAAGTATTCATACTATTTTGTAATCTTTTTACTGTTTAATTCTATGTCAAAACATGTTATTTCTACAAGAATATGTATTTTCGTATCTAGGCATAGTAAGTTTGATTGGCTCAATTTACAAGGTTGTTTTCAGTTTTAACTTTTGTGTTTGTTTTCTCTGTGTAATACTCCTGGCTGTCCTGGGACTTGCTCTGTAGACCAGACTGGCTTGGAACTCACAGATCTACCTGCCTCTGTCTACCGAGTGCTGGGATCAAAGACGTGCAACACCTCTGCCCAGCTTCATTTTAATTTTTAATGGAATTTTAAAGCATTTTTACTGTAATAAAATATAACCAGTTTCTGGTTTGTGCCTCTTGCAGGAGCTTCCATCATATCAGGCTAAGGGGGGTGGGGTGGGGCCTTCAAACACTCATTTATCTCCCCTTCCCAGGGTTGTGTATGTATAATTTTTCATTTAAACCTCTGAGAGGACTAAAGAAAATAACTGGTCTAAGTTATTTCAAGTCTCGACTGGGCAGCGGTGGCGCTCACCTTTACAGAAGCAGGCAGATCTCTTGAGTTTGAGGACAGCCTGGTCTACAGAGCTCGCTCTAGGGACAGCCAGGGCTACCCAGAGAAACAACACAAAACAAAAAAACCTCCAAAAAAAAAAAAAAAAAAAAGCCCAAACAAAAAGCAAAACAACTTAAGTCCCTTATTTTTCCTCACTCAAAACTTATTTTAGGGATGAAAAAAAGAACAGCTTTTTTTTTTTTCTTTTTAAATACTAACTATAGCCTACCAAACTATTTCCGGTTTCCTCTTAGCCTTCTAGGGTAGGAGTTCAGAAGCCCGAATGACAATAAGGTACTTTTTTTTTTTTTCCTTTTTAGATTGCTGGCGTCGAACTCTCGAACCTCCAGCCTTCGAAGCACCGAACCGGGGAAGCCTCGCCCCACCCACTCAGAGAAGGGGTGCGAGGCCCTGGGACCCGGACGGCGTTCCGGCCCGCCACACCCCCTTCCGGAAGCCGGGGGAGGGGGAGGGGAGACCAGCAAGACGTCGGGATTTGTTTTAACGTTCCATAGCGGGCCCGAACACCTCCAGAGAAGAGAGGTCACCTAGGCGACCACAGGAGAAACTGGCCCGGATGGAAAGTTAAACGGGAGGTGCTGGAAAACCACGGGAGTTATTTCCACAGGGAGATGAAAAAGGAAACTTCCTCAGCGTTCTCCCCGCCCCCGGCCGGGTAGCTGGGGGAAGGATGCCGTGCCGTGCCGTGCCGCGCCGCGCCGCTCCGCTCCGCTCCGCTCTCCCGAGCGGCCGCCTCAGCTCTGGGGCGCCCCCCGGCGCCTCAAGTACATTTTAGAATTTTCCCAGGAGCCCCAGCGGGAGGAGGCTCCGCCCCCCTCATGAATACCAAGAAGCCGCGCCTCTTCTGCCCTCCCAGGAGCCCCCGCGCGCGGAGGCCCCGCCCCCTCGCCCAAAGCCAAGGAGCCTGGGCTCTTCTGCCTCCTGACGGGAGGCCTCGCCCCTCTGCCCTCCCCGCCTGCACACCCGGGACCTTCCCAGGAAACACCTCCTGGGACGCCACGCCCCTTCGGGAAACACGAAGAAAGAGGCTCCCGTAGCGCCCTCCTCTTGGAGGAGTGTCGTTCTGAGTGAGGCCCTGAGAGCCCCCAGCCGGCGCCACCACCATCTTAAGCCCAGGAAGGTGCGGGAGCCGTTATGGGCCGGGAGCGTGTAAACGGAGAGCTCGGACTGCATTCTTTATACACTCAGTTTTTAAGGCAGTGTTCGATTCCCTCCGGCCCCGCGCCGACCGACCGTGTCGGGAGAGTTTTATCAGAAGTTGTAGGATGCCGAGTGTGATGGCACTGGGCTATGTTGACAGCCTGCTTCAACATCCCCCCCCAAAAAAAAAAAAAAAAACACTTAAGTTCTCATTCACTTATTTATAGATCCTATGAATTTTCTTTCCTTCCTCCCTCCCTCCCTCCTTTCTTCCTTCTTTCCCTCCTCTCTCTTTTGAGACAAGGTCTGCTTAGGTAGCCTAGGCTAGCCTGAACCTTTGACTTTCTTGCATAAGCCTTTTAGAGTGCTGAGATTATAGGCATACCCCAACGGGCCTGGCTTGATTAACTGTCTGTGGAAGCCTGCAGAAGGGAAGGCTGGCCAGGAGGCCTTAAACATACAACAGAGAATGGTATATATGTTCCCTCCTTAAGGGAACATATATACCATTTTATTTAAAACCATGGAAACAAACAATGAACAAAGTAGCTAGGGCACACACCGTGTTATAGAGGCAATAAGGCAACAGAGACTGACTGTGTTGGGGGAGGAACTACTGAAGATGGACTGGGTTGTAAAGGTCTCTGAGGAGGATGATATTTAATTTGAGA